ATAAACTCTAGCTATGACGGCAACAGTAGTATTATACGAGGTATAACTGATAAGTAAAACAAAGAAAATAATTATAGCTGTCAGTTGTCAATAAGATTATTTTGACAGCTAATAATCTTATTGGTGTATTTTTTGCATATACAAAATAAATTTTACAAAGTGTGGTATATTTACAAGTACATATTTCTAAAATTTGCTAAACCATAATAACAGAATATTTAAGACAGATATTCACTACAATTAATTGCAAAAATTATTGTAAAGAGTTCTTGTAAATGTGCAATATTCAGCAAAAATTTTGCTATTCGCTACACCACAAACGAAATATGACAGTAGACTAGACTATAGACTAGATTATAGACTAGACTATAGACTAGACTATAGACTAGACTTTAGACTAGACTATAGACTAGACTATAGACTAGACTATAGACTAGACTATAGACTAGACTATAGACTAGACTATAGACTAGACTATAGACTAGACTATAGACTATAGACTAGACTATAGACTAGACTATAGACTAGACTATAGACTAGACTATAGACTAGACTATAGACTAGACTATAGACTAGACTATAGACTAGACTATAGACTAGACTATAGACTAGACTATAGACTAGACTATAGACTAGACTATAGACTAGACTATAGACTAGACTATAGACTAGACTATAGACTAGACTAGACTATAGACTAGACTAGACTATAGACTAGACTATAGACTAGACTATAGACTAGACTATAGACTAGACTATAGACTAGACTATAGACTAGACTATAGACTAGACTATAGACTAGACTATAGACTAGACTATAGACTAGACTATAGACTAGACTATAGACTAGCTAGACTAGAACTTAGACTAGACTACTAGACTACAGACGATAGACTAGAACTATAGACTAGACTATAGCTAGACTATAGACGAGGACGATAGACTAGACGAATAGACTGAGACTATAGACTAGACTATGCTAGACTAGACCTAAGACTAGACTAGTACTATAGACTAGACTATATACTTACCCTATAGACTAGACTATAACTAGGACTAAACTAGACTATAGACGATAACGTATAGACTAACTATAGACAGACTTAGACTAGACTATAGACTAGCCTATAACTAGACTATAGAATAGACTATAGACTAGACTAACTATACTAGCCTATAGACTAGACTAACTATAGACTAGACTATAGACCTAGACTATAAGACTATACTATAGACTAGACTATAGACTAGACTATAGACTAGACTATAGACTAGACTATAGACTAGACTATGGACGATTACTATAACGAGACTATAACTAGACTAAAAACCTAGACTATAAACCTAGACTATGCTAGACTATGGCCTAGACTATGGACTAGACTTAGACAGTCTATAGACTGACTACACAAGACCATAGACTATTCAATGTAATTACCTCATTTTTTATATATGAACTATTCAATGTTTATTACATATTATTTGGAAAACGTTGGTTAAAAATCTCGAAATTTCGCACTGACCACAATTGCCATTTCAAAAACGTCAGATTTGACGGGAAATCGTTAAATTGGCAATACTAATCAAACTATATTCATATTACTCTTGTAATATTCTTTGAAAAAATCTTCTTTGTAATCAGAAAATAAACTTCTACTGGTAATAACTTGTATTTATAAATTAATTTATATATTGCTAAACACCACCTGATGATGAAGAAATGAAGTGAAATACAATAATTAAATCTCTGACTCACTTTTTTTTTTTGTTTTATTGTGGACCTCGACGTAGTCGTCGTCGTTATTTGTTTGTGTGCCTGACTGACTACTCTGGCTGGTGTTCAGCGATGCACGAGTAGAATATTTAAGTAATGGCGTGTGCAAAATGAAAAAATTCATTTTTAAATTAAAACAAAAAAATAAGACAAAAACAACAACTGCAAACAAAAACCATATACACAGAAAAAACACAACATTTTTTTAAGGACATTCATTTTAATAAAATACAAGCGAGAAAAATAAAGGTCAATAAATTTACTTTTATGCAAAAGTTGTAAATGAAAAACAAGGGAAAAAAGAAAAAAATTACTGCTATAGATATACAATATTAAAAATCAGTGATATAAAATCATTTACATTAGCTTAGCTTTCATAATAATAAAAAACTTAATTGATATAATAAGTAACGTACTTGTTAATGCTAATCAATGCCTCTTGGATTCTAATCCTTTGTTATTTCGATTTAGTCATCCGACAAAAAGTCGTCCTGCTTACCAATGAATGCTTTAAGTTATCATAGTCTGCTCCTAATCATTTTTTAATATCATATTTTCGAATCTTTTTCCCTATAAGATTATGTCGATTTTCCTACGACATAATAGTCGTTTGGTCAAGAGTCAATTTTAAGAACTCTAATTCTATCAATTCCATCTTAGATGCGTCAATTCAGTCTTCCGTATAAGACGCTAACAGATTTGTAAACTCAAATCACTTGTTTTTATTCGAAAACAATATTTGCTCCTTATGATCCGAAATACCAAACAGTTTGACTTATGCCAATGCCAGGAATGGAAAATTCCGTACTATTGTATTACTTTTTTGTATAAACTTTGGCTAAGTAGTAAACTAATCAGTATCAGAAGGTGTGCTCCTTCCTGACCTGTATGAATGCCGTTTTCTTATACACGAAGGTCCTTCCTATCATGCCTCAGGGGAGCTTGTCGTCCTTTTTTACTTCTGATGAAATGTTTTGGATCCAGAGCCTATTAACATTTTAAAAATATTCGCCATTATTCACATTAACGAAAAAAGTAAAAATCTCACTAAATTAGTCTATTTTAGTAGCAGCAAAATAACAGAAAAAAAATATTAAATCAAAATATTTTATTTCTCTCTATAATGTTTAGCACGTAACCCAATGCAATGCAACGTGATAAGAGTTTTTTTACTGTTGCTTCACACCTTATGACGATGATGAAAACAAAAGCATAACAAAACAAAAAATAGCAAAGTCAGAGCAGGCAGCAACAGTTTTGCAGTACAATTTCTAACAACAACAAAGAAACAAATCTCTAAAAGAAATTTTCATATGTTTATAAGTTTGTACAAGCATGTAGGAGTATATTAATATGTAAGCATGTACATATGTGTGTATGGATATTCTACTAACTAATGGGTGTAGTAACGTGCCCCTTTGTATTGTTGTATAAGTTGTTGTTATTATTTCTTCTGTACCATTAGTTGGTGAAATGTAAAAACAAGACGTCAGTCAGTTAATATAATAATAAATAAATTACAAAAACAACTATACCACAATACTTATCAGTTTTTTTTTTGGTAAAGAAATACACATTTTAAAAGAAAACATGTACAGTGTATGTTTTGACAGAAAAAAATGACAAATATGGAGACTAATCAAAAAGAGAATGTATTTTAGAAATGAGCAAGAGAAAAGAAAAATAATTATTAGAATTTGGCATAAAAAATGTTACCATAACTAAATTTAATGAATTTTATTAAAAAAATATTGGAATTTACCACAAATTCACTTGATGTTGACAGATGTTTTTTTTTTTTTTTCTTATATGGCAACCCTTTTAAGAATTTAACAGAATAACAGCTGATTGCTGTCAAATTATAACTAAGAGAACAGAATAGAATAAGTCTAAAAGAGAGAAGAATGAAACGAGCGAACACAGAATTATCTAAATATAGTTAATTAGCTGTTGACAATTTATACATATTAGAATTTTATATTAATAAAAAGTAAACAACACTTGTTAAAACTATGTAAATATTTCTAAAAAATATGTAAAATTCTTTTAATTTAATAACCATTTATTTGGCTTTAAACTAGTTTATATATAAAATAACACGTAACAAAGCGATTATATCCTGGTTAACAAAAACAACAACAAGAAGCAAAAATTTATAAAAAAAACCCAACGAACAACTTTTTTGTTTTATGTTTTGATGTATTTTTCTTCTAATATTATACACATTTTGCTTTCATTTCATACAATTTTGTGTGTATGAGAGGATTTGAAGTAAAATGTCAGTGATGATGAAAACCAATAATAACAATTTTGTACTCAGCAAAAATAATGTACTAAATAACATTTTTTTATATTACGTTTTCTTATACAATAAGTTTTCACTGTTAATTTCGCTAATATGTCAAATTTTTTTTTAATATTTGTTTCTACAAAATATTGTTTTAGAGAAATTAATTTGGACCAAAATCTTACGTTTACGGGTAAATACGAATATAATTTTATGTATATAAAAATTTTCGATATCTCGAAATCGATTTGATCATTATTTTGATAGAATCTTATTGGGCATGTCAAAATTGCTAAGAAAACTTTGACAACTAATTTGAAATTGAATTGACGTTGCCAACCCAAAAAATTATGAATGATCAGCTGAGTTCAGTGATATTGCCTAACGCCTAAAGTAATGCCCTCTCCAGCTTTTAGTTAGTTTTAGTACTTAAAAACACTTGTTTTTTAATACCTTTTGTACCCAAAGAATAGTACTTTTTCCCAATTCTTTTTTGTATCATCCACGATTCGTAATATAAAGCAAAAACTTGAAATAAACGTCAAACTACAAATTCGTACACACATTCACAAACATACATAAATGTATTTGTATGTAACCTTTTTGTTTTTCTCGTTGAAAGTGTATATGAGAGAGGAAGTGTGAGACAGAAACGAGAGACAAAGAGAAAACAGAAAAAAATATACTAAATGAAGCAGTTCAATTAGTGGTGTGGTTGTGGTACCAGAGTAGTTTCTGCTGCTTAAGGTGACAATGGTGTGAACTAAATTTAATATTAAAAAAAAAAATTATATATAGTAAATGCATAATTTACTTAAGAAATAATCTATTAATATTTATTATATTTATATAAACTATAGTGAAATATTATTTAACTAAATAAAAGTTTAAAATAACTTGAAAAAATAAATGCAAAAATTGTGAATTTGTAAAAAAAAGAAAAAATTCCCATAAATTGTTGAAAAATGTCAAAAGTGAAATAAAAATAATAATTTGACAACAGTACAAAAAAAATGAAATAACGATTAAAATTTTTCTTTATGCCACCAGAACTAACGAATAAAATAAAACTCAACGAGTGAAAAATGCGAGTGATCTTTTAAAAACAGCTGAGTGCAAATTCGTTATTATATATAAAAGAGCTAAAGCGAAAAAAGGAAAATAAAAGAAGAAAACCAACGAAACATTCCAATACTTAAAAGAGAAGAGTGTTTAACAAAACAAAAAAAAAAAGAGAGAATAAAAGAAAAAATGGAACAAATATTTTAATTTAAGTGATAAAGAAAACAAGAAAAGTGTAAGAAATTCAATAAAAAGGAAGCACGACACATTATATATTGGAGAAATTAATTTAGAAAAAAAATGTGAAAACAAACTTCGAAAATTTACAAAAAATTAATAAAATTTTCTTTAAATATATAGTTTTACAACAAATTACACGCGTCAGAGATATAAAGCAGCATTAAAGCAACAACAATTTCTGGAATTTTACCAAGTCAACACACAACAACAACATCTTTAACAAAAACAACTGCAAAGATTTTTTTATGCATTGAAGAAGAAAAAAAAGAGTTACTACATGAAACACGTCCAATTATTTATAACATCAAACTAAATTAAAGCAACAATTAAAGGCAGAATTTTATAAAATACAATTTTATTCCAACTCTCTTCTATCTGTCTGTCTGTCTGTCGGTCGGTGCGTTGCAGCAACAATAATAACATCAAAAACAACATCATCTCACCAGACATTGTAAAAAGATTTTCTTTTTTTTACAAACAAAAATAAACTAAAAACAAAGTAAGCTAAATATCAAAATAGTTATAGCTAATTATCTCTCGATTTTAAATTATACAAAAATTTACACCTGATTTTAATTGACCTTGTTTTTGTTTACTACAATTTGTTGGTAAATAACTTGTTATTGTTTTGTTATTGGCTTAAAATTTGACATTAATTAATACATATGATGATGATGATGATGATTATATTATACCTAAGTTGCTAACAAAAGTTTATACCTACATAGTACTTTAAGATTTTTTCGACTTTGGACAGAAGTTTTTATACCCTACACCATTGTATATACTATATGCTGATAGTTGGTTGTAACACCCTTAAATTAAACCAATCGGCTCAAAATCACTTTCGATTTAGACATGTCCGTCCGTTGATGAAATTTGGCACATACTCTTCTCATAACCCAAAAACGAAAATGGTTACATCTAAGCTTATAATTATGTTGTGTTCTAGTATCTCTACAAAAATCGGAACAACTTAGTTTTATTTAAGTCTAAATTATAGTGTAGATTTTCGTAATGTTCGGGCCTTATCTAAACCACGTCAATAATTCACTTATAAATAATATTATGAAATTCTGCATAAAAGATATTATTCCAACTACAACTGTAAATGGAACATTTGTTTTTCCCGATTAAACAACATTGTGCAACTTATTTCCTAGCGATTTGAAACTTTCATCAATTTAGTAGTTACCTCTATCAGCAACAAGAAGTGAAATTTCTGTTCCCATTAAATGTGTATTAGTTTCCCTCGAAGGGAAATTACAGCACAGTCTTAGGGATGAATGCGTTCACTTTGACATTATCAGAAAATTGCTGAGAAATCTTTTAATCTCCTTTACAAACGTCCTGACCAGAGTGCCCTGGTCATATGGTCATACAATAAACGACAGTTGTAAGATAACAAATTTCTTGGACATCTTTAGAAATTTGCTGTTTAAATCTCGCATCGCCTCTATAAAGATTCTGACATTATTTCCACACATTATTATTCTGGACGAGCTTGATGATGAGCTCTGACCAAATGCCTTTAACGGTTTTCGGTGCAGATAAAGCATCAAAACATTTGCCTCCTTTGGTTAATCCGAAATAATCTATTAGACAGCTCTCTGCATTCGTTGTAAAGTATTTCAGCCACACAGTGAAAACTGCAAAACGCGCCTGGTTGTAGATTGTAGAAAAGCCCTGAGACGGTTGTAGACTGTTTGTCATTAGATTGTGTTGGGTGCCGGGACACTGCAACGTGCATGGTAATGAGGTTGCGGACGAACTAGCTAGATTAGGTTCGAGCCTTAATATAGATGACAGAGGAAGGATGGTAAAACTACCCATTTGTCACTATTACAGGCTGATTTTTGAAAGAATCCGTGGCATCATTAACCAGGCCTGGAATAGTAGATTGGATTAAAATGTATAGCCAAAACTTGATATAGGGGCTACCAAAGTACTCATAGGACTTGATAGACGCAGTCTAAGAATTCTGATAGGGATGCTAACGGAGCACTGCTCAGTTAGGGCCTTTGTCAGTAAGTGGGACCGTAATACACCGTATTATTGTAGGCTATGCGAGGATGAGGAGGAAGTGGAGTCGATCGAGCATATATTTTGCCACTGTCCTAAGATACAGAGTCTCAGGCTGATATGGCTAGGAAATAGGTTCCACGACATCTCTTATCTCTTATCTCTTTATTCTTTGGGGTACAGATTTGTTAATTATATCTATCCTTTTTACCTTCTTCTCTGTATTTACTTCTAGTGTGTTGTTTATTTTGTTTTTCTGTTTTTGAATCCTCACGCCTTGAAGGAAATCACAATGGACCTTAAAGTCTTCGAGTGGATATGCCCCGTTCTTATGGTGTATAACCCTTCTTAATCTAAACCGTAGGCCTATTTAACTAGACTATTTTTTTAAAATATTTTTAGATTTATTTACACAAAAACCTCTTCATTTTCTGAAAACAATAATAAAATATTGTACATACCCACATACTATATATCTCATAAAATAATTGATGTTGACGACAATAATTTGTTTTCGCAATTTCGGAAATCATATTCACATATTGTGTGTTAGTATTGTTTATTTTTTAATAAACTTTTTTTTTTATTTTATAATCTTTAATTGTCGTCAAGATATCTCTCCCTCTCTCATCCTGCATACATATGTATTTGCAACCATTACCTACTCCCACTCCTCAAGCAGCCCTCCTGCCTAAAATACAAAAAAAAAACACGACCAACAAACGCCATCATTAATTTATTAAAACAACCAACCACAAATGTAGAATTTTAATATGAAATATAAAATAAATTAAATATACTACATACAGTATATGACAATAAAAAGTAAAGTGATAAACATAATATCAAAATAAAAAAAAAAATAAAATGACACAATGACAGCCACCCAAAACAGAAGAGCTAAATGTAAAGAGAGGGAGAAAAAAAGTGTTATTTGTAATTGTTTTTGAAAATCTCTATTAGGGTTACCAGATAATTTTGAAGGAGAAGTAGTGGGTTAGTTTAATAATTATAATAAATCTATGAATTTCTTTGGAAATATCAAATTTTTATTGTTATCAGTATTTATTTTGATTGAAATCTGCGAATTTTTTTTCCCCAAAGTTGAATTTTATATAAAAATATTGTATTTTCAATAGACCTAGTCCACTCGTGGTATATAAATAGAAATAAAAAAAGAGAGAATTAACACTCCATATAAAAGGTGTTACTATACAGTGGACGTCCACTAGTACGAATTATATAGTGTCAGGCCCTTTCGTAATACCGAAAAATTCGTATTATTGAACAACACATTTTGTATGTTTAAATTCAAATAATACACATAAAATATTGGATTTTATTTATTTTTGTTTTATTTTTCATTAAAAATTACATAACGGAACAAAATATAATAAATGTGTATTATTTTAAATAAATTTATTGTACATAAACAGGCATAAAAGGGACATATTTACGTATATGAATTGTTAATTTTGAAAGTATCGTGAGTCCAATGGTTGAAATGAGATATATGTAGAAGGTATTAAATTTTAATGTTTTTAAAAAGATGTGTGCCAAAGACAATTTGCAATTTACATATGTGTTCTAAAATGTATTAAAATGTTCAGATTACATAAAACATTTATTAGAAACTTGAATGGAATATACCACAATTCTCTAATTTATAATTTTCTCTTAAAAATTAGAATAGTTATCCTTAAACCCATTGTTTGGAATGTGGAGTCACACTACTTTCAAAATTAACAGTTCATACATACATATGTATATAAATATCATTTTAATTATTAAAAAATCCATCATTTAACATCGATGTTTATTACATTGTAAAATGATTCTTACGGCTTTTTCAATAACAGCGCTTTTGAGGCTTCAATATTGTTCTCAGCAGAGTTATTGTCGGGAACTAATAAAATACTTTCCTCATTGGCGTTATCATCCAATTTAATTTCTTCTCTTGGGTCATCAAAATTCCAATAAAATAAATTAATAACACTAAATAAATGTTGATTTGTAAATATACATGCAGTAAATTGTGTGTATAGGATTTTTAAAAATACAAAACACTTGTAATAAATACAAAAAAACTTCAAAATTACTGAGCTTAAGGTGAATGATACCGAAATAATAAAATAAAAACATAATAAAAACTTCATTCATACGTAAATAAAACCAAAATTCCCATAAAAAATGCGTTATTCGTACTATCGAACAGAAAAATTGTGACTTTATTCGTACTATAGAGTAGACAATGCAACAATTTTGCCATTCGTATTATTGGATATTCGTAATAAAGAGTGTACGTACTATTGGACGTCCACTGTAATTTGATATCTACAATGCGACTTATTAATCTTTACCCTAAAGTTGAATTTTAAATGTAAAAATAGACGTTTTAAGCACACACTTAATCCCTGGTTTTCATTTAAAATATTTTCAAAAAGTATTCGGTATGCGGTAATGCGAATGTCTAATAAGCTATAAGATATAATAGATAGCTACGATAATTTTTTTATAGTGCTCGATAAGGGGATAGTATCTGATTACTCCCCAGGTGTGCCCATGAGGTCTAAATTTATAATCTAAACTTGTTAATACTTCCTCTTTACGCATGTAAAGAATTGGACAAACAGTTTAGAAGTTAGAGAATTATTTCGCTCTTTTTTATTTCATTTCCACTGTGAGTTAGCCCATGAAGGTACAAATTCAAAACATAAACACTTCATAATATTTATCAAGTGAAATTTCAATCAAATCTTTAGTCTAACACACAGTGCATTGTGGGTCCATAATTTCTTCTTCTTTCTCATTACCCAAGTAAAATTTCACATAACATAACAATCATTCTGATATTACAGATGTACACATTTCTTTTTATTCTATTCCGCTTAACTTTTTTGGTCGATCATTTCATTGCCACTGTGAGTTAGCCCATGAAGGTACAAATTCAAAACATAAACACTTCATTATATTTATCAAGTGAAATTTCAATCAAATCTTTAGTCTAACACACAGTGCATTGTGGGTCCATAATTTCTTCTTCTTCCTCATTACCCAAGTAAAATTTCACATAACATAACAATCATTCTGATATTACAGATGTACACATTTCTTTTTATTCTATTCCGCTTAACTTGTTTGGTCGATCATTTCCATGTGTCCAGACAATTAAAGTTTTATTTAAATCTCCCTACCGATTCCAAATTTCCGATTTTACAAATTTCTTCAGAGATATTGAGCTCATTCAATACCATAACGAAAATAATGGATTACAAAGTAGAAGTTAAACTAATATAACCACAGACATCTGGTAAGCCAATGGGGAGTTACGTTTATATAAAGAGAGAAATTAAAATACACAAAAAAGAGTATGAGTCTATTGTAAAAACCCATTTTATATAAAATTGCAAACTTGTTTTTGTTTTTTAGATTTTTTTCTTATATTTAAATAATATCTAGCAGCTGAGTATGATTGTTTGTTTTAGCGTAGAAGAAACGAAAAACAAAACCGAAAAATAATAAAAAAAAAAAAAAAAAAAAAACTTAAAAGAAAATATAAAAATTATGATCAGCTTAGGCAAGTGATACAACTCACGTACACTAAAATGAATGGTTACTTTCGTATAGTGTATTATATATATAGTATAAACATATAGACAGACAGACAGACATATATATGTACATACATATGCTCTATAGGTATGCATATGTATAAAGAGTAGTTGTTGCTGTTTTTTTTTTTATTGTAACATTCAAATACTCTCATATAAGTATATTTATACTATATAAACGACATAATTCTTCATATGTATGTCTAATATGTACCACCACTACTCTATATAGTATTTGTAAAAAAATAGAGAGTGTCGAAGAAACGAGAAACCACTTGAAAAAATAAAACTGAACACAACCACAATTCGTTACGATTTCTTATAGTCTGTCTATAAGAAATAATATAAAAAAAATTAAAAAAACAATAACAACAAAATATACACCTTTCAAATTAAATCTACATACACACATATCCACCTCTAATAGATTGACAAAAATTTTTGTATTTTTTTTTTGCAGTTTTATAGAGATCTTTTTCTTTTGTCTATTAAATAACTGAAATATAAAATTAAATCGAAATTCATTTTTTTAATTAGCGAAATTATAACAAAAAAACTAAAGCTCTGGAGGTATATAGACTAGTTATAGACTATTTTATAGACTAACCTTTGACTATTCTGTAGAATAGTCATACCTATTGACTAATCAATAGAAAATTGTAAAGGCTAGTAAATAATAGTCTAGTGAATAAACTAGTCTATAAACTTTGTTAGACTAGACTAGTGCATAGAATTGTCAATCGATTTTTCTATTGAATTATCTATAGACTAGTCAATAGATTAGTCTATGAACTATTCAATAGACAAGTCGATAGGTTGGTATATAGTTTATAGTATTCATATTTAGTTAGACTAGCCAATAGTTTAGTCAATATACTTACTATTTAATAGACTAATCGATAAAATAGTCATTAGATTACTTCGTAGACTAGTCAACAGATCATTCCATAGACTATTCAATAGCTATGGACTAATCTATTGACTATTCTGTCGATTAGTCTATTAAATAGTGTATTGACTAAACTTTGGACTAGCCTATGGGCTCACCTAATATTCTAGCCAGTAGACTAGTCTATATATAAATCAATATTCTATAAATTAGGATATAGACTAGACTAATGACTAGTTCATAGACTAATATATAGATTAGTTCATAGACTAGTCTATTAGGTGAGCCCATAGGCGAGTCCAAAGTTTAGTCAATACGCTATTTAATAGACTAATCGACAGAATAGTCAATTGATTAGTCCATAGACTAGTCAACAGATCATTCCATAGACTATTCTATAGACTATTCAATAATTAAGTTAATTTACTAGTCAATAGATGAATCAATAGAATGTTCTATAAACTAGTCAATAGACTAATCTACACGTTCCCACGACAATTAAATGTCCGCTCCGGAACTACCCGATTCTTAATCGTTCAAATATTGTCAACTCAGTATCAAACGGAAGTTTTTTCCCCAGGGAATAACATCCAGTCACAGCCAATCTGTTACAACAACTAGTCTACAGACAAGACTAAAGACTAGTCTATAGATTAGGTCATAGACTAGTTAGAGCGGGTTTTTGAGATGGTAATCAAATGCCAATTAATAATCAGATTAGTTAATCTAAAAATAAATTTAATCTTATGTTAATTCCCTTTGATGTTTTTGAGTAGAAGATTAAACTTCGCAGTGTTGCCATACAAAACAACAGAAAACTTCACTGTTTGTTATCAAAACAATGCATATTTTATAAAAAGAAGAAGACAATTGTAAATTTAATATGAAAGTTAATGAAAACTTAAATTAAAAACAAAAAAATGTATTTTGAAGTGTCCATAATTTATACTAATCAATAAATAGAACATTTTAATGTTTATATTTATAAAAATTTTATTAATTTTTTTGCATCAGCTGTTTACACTTTTGCATTTCGTGCTTAAGATTAAACCACCTCCATTGGGCGCTTAAACTTGCAAACAAAATTAACTAATTGAGTACTCAAAAACATCTTTCGAGGATTAATTTTAATTGAATCGCTAATCTTTCACCTAAAGATTGGCCCTTAGTAGACTATTTTTTAAACTTTGCTAGCGAATAATTACAATATCTGCAAGATGTCTTTGTCTTTCAAATTTTGGGAGTTTTTAAGCAGTTGCAAATATTTTCCAACCTGTAAATTTGCTGAAGTATAGTAAATAACCACTTAATGTATGTACATACACATTTTGTAGTATAAACTTGTCAAAGTTTATTTCTTTAAACTATTTTTAGGGAAGCTTGTTTACCTTTTTTTTTCTCTCAGTTTTATAAAATTAAAGAAAATTTATTTTAAACACTGTTTAATTAAACCAACCAAAAGACTTTGTATAAAACTACAACATATGTATTAAGTTGTTGTTTGTTTTCTGCTCAAAAATAAATTGTATACACTCTCGTAATAAATTGAACTACATACATACATACATACATACATCTTAAAAATAACATTACGACGTGAAATAAAATGCTAAAACCACTACAATTAAAAGTCAAAACATAATTGCATATAAACAGACTGACAGACGGAAGGACGGACAGATTAAAAGACTCGACAGAGAGCGAGCAACAATGAAAACTAATGAGAAAACATTGAAGCAAACAACCGATATCATCCATGCCTACCTTAACCCAATTCATTTATTGAAATTATTATTTAACAAAAAGAAATTTTTTCTATAATTCGTTTTAACAACAATTATTTATTTTTTACCACGGACGGAGGAGAGCAACAAGCCAACAACAGCTTATTTGCCAACAAAACAAAAAATACACGTCATTATTTTTAATTTTTAATCAGTATATGAAAAGAAAATATAAAATAAACAAAGTTACTAAGAAGAAAAATTAATAAGAAAAACCGTAAAAATAAAAGAAAACAAAATCAATAATAAAGTGTAAAACAAGTGTAAATTCTGTAAAATCGTAAACGAGAGATAATTAAAAAATTGTTTTTAAAAACAATTGTACATTTTTGTTGCCTTCTAAAAAATATATATTAAATAAATGAAATTTAATAAATATTACAGCTCTGCCTTAAAATAACAACGCAACTACTAAATATAATGGATTACTCTCTAAATAAGTGTTGAAAAAAATTGTTTAAAAGAGAGATAAACCAAGGAAACTACAGTCTGCCTTAAAGAAAAATTATCAAAAGTGGCAGAAATTGTTATTAAAATCAAAATTTTTGTAAAGAGAGTAAAAAATCAACTAGAACGTCCTTTAAAAAGAGCTTGCCAAAGTCAAACAATCAAAATTCTCCCGTCTAAAGTCAAACTTCATCATCACACACCACAAAACCACCTGATAAGATCTAGTCTGATCGGTCGGTAGGTTCAAAGCATCAACACAACCAACAAATCAACGTAGGCTTCCATGCTTAAAAACACCCAAAAGAAATCTTAAAACCCTAACAAACTGAAGCTGTTAGAAACTTCCCCATAAACAACATTATAGAAAAACAACATTGTGTCAAACACAGCAATAAAAAAAAATTGCAATTATAGAAAAAAAACATAACGGAACGGAACTGCAATCAAACTCCCCAATATAAAAAAGACGAAATCTAATTTATTTTTTAGAAGATCAGTTAAGAAAAAAAAAACTTCCACAAATAGAGAGAAAAACAAATTTCCAATAAATCTTCCTTTAATTTTGTCAAAATTATCTAGTTTTTGTATAAAATTAAACAAAAATACCACAAAACAGAGTTAAACTCTATTATTTTCTAAACGTCCCAGTTGCAACTACATAATTAAAAGCATAAATTTACAACTAAATTGGAATAAATTGGATAAGTAATTCACACAGCTGAAAATACTTTGTAGCAACAACGCCGCGTGTCTGACCTCTCTACCGCAGTTACGCTGAGAGGCGTTATGACAAATTCGATTGCGTCTGCAAAATGCCCGTCTATCCTAACGTCCGGCAAATATGGTATGTCACAGCGTCACAGCATTATCGATGATTCCAAAGAGTATGTGTTTGTTAAACTTACTGATTCGGCATTTCGTGCAATTGAGGAATATCAGCGTAACGCTCAGTCGAAACGTTTACAAAAAGGACAATGCGCCAAGATACAATTTACTGGAAATACTGGCGTTATACAATTTCCACCCACAGCTGATGCTTCAACGGCCAACGGATCAGCCGATGGACGGAAGTTCGGTTTTGCCATCGATGATGTTGAGGGCTCGCTGGAATGCATACAACAGTCGGGAGCCGATTTGGATGTATTGGGATCTCTTAATTATCGTATGCGCATTCATGCCAATGATGATGTCTACGATACGACAAGAACAAAAATGGCCATTGCCGAGGAGACGGAGAAGAGTAAGTGTATACGTGAGATTAAACCTAATCAGACAGACATTGGACGAAAGGTGAAAAGGCCCGTCTCGGCTGCTTCTATACAGGCCTATACGAATGGCACGACATCCAACTCTTCGACGTCATCACTTTTAAATGGTCTAAGTAATGGTAATAGCAGCAACAGCATTAGTAGTAGCATTAATGGCAGCAGTAGTTATTTAAGTAATAGCAGCAACAACCACATCAACAGCAGCAGTAGTAATAGTAATAGTCGTAATAAATTATCAGCATCAACGCTCAATCAACACTCACCGCCACCAGGTGGTGCTGGCGGCGGCGGCGGAGGGGTTGGAGTGGGTGTTAACGGTTCACGTTTGTTAACAAATGCCTCCTCTCTACGCTCTTCCCCCAATCCGTCTTTAATAGGTGGCAGTGGTACCGTGGGCGGCAGCAATGGCAATAGTAGTACTAATCGCTATGGCAGTCCTTCAAATCTTCCCTCTTCCAACTTACCCTCGCTGTCCACAAATATGGCAAATGGCATTGGTGGTTATTCTCCACCGGGATCTGCCACTAGCATCAATCATATGTCGTCTTCGCTGCATCCGCAAGCCAAGAAAGCGAATATGGGTAACGGTGTAAACAGCAGAGGCAATGGCTCAGCCGCTAAAGGTTCGCTCGGCACTAATGGCAAAGTGAATGGCAAAACCCTTGATGTCTCAAAGAGGAAAATCCGTGAGCGTCTGATTCACTTGTTAGCTTTGAAGCCATTCAAAAAACCCGAACTCTATACAAGGCTAACGAACGAGGGTTTGGCTCAACGGGAGCGACAACTAATCAGTACGATACTCAAAGACATATCGACATTGTCGCGCGACAATACCTACAACCTGAGACGTAGCATGTGGAATGATGTTGATGAAAATTGGCCATTTTTCTCGGAACAAGAGATCCAACAATTGAAAAGACGTAAGCCTCAGAATCTAACACCACCTATGAGCTCAGATGCCGGTAGTTCAACGTCGGGTCAAAGCCCGACTTCTTCTACACATACGGGGAGCCCGCCTCCTTTGGTGGCAACAGCCAATATGAATGGTGGTGTAGGTGGTGGCGGCGGCATGAAACGAACTAGTCTAGAGCCAGATTTATATGATGGGGCCTTAACCTTGGGTATGCAATCGAAAAAACAACGTATAAGCCATTACAAAAAGGATGGAACTAGCAGTAATAGTAATGGTAGTAGTTTAATAAATAGCAGCAATTTGGGCGCTGGCGCAAGAATGGGTATGGGAGGAGGTGGTAGTGGCGGCGGTGGTGGTGCATATAATCAAAATCATCGATCCTCATCTGCAGCTTATTCTCCCCACAACTACAATACAGGCAATACAAATAATGGCAACGACGAGAATTCTGGAAATTCTGATTTAACATTTAATGTGCTCAATAATATGGATGAGTTTATACAGCATACAGCTGTGGTGGGAGGCGATTCGACATTTGCCGGACGTAGTAAAACTACAGCGGGTAATAGTAAGATATCACCATCAATTAGCAGCAGTAATAGTAATAACAACAGTAGTTCAACGTCCTCAACGAATGCTAAAGAGAAACGTAACTCTGGCGGAAGCAGTAGTTCATCTAGTGGTTACGGCAGTAATCGTGAATCTTCGTCAACGTCATCCACATCTTCAACAGCTTCATCAACCTCCTCTGCTGCCATGCGTCGTAAAAATTCCCCAACGCCATATGCTAATAATTTTGTGCCTGAAACTAAAATTTCTTCAAACTCCAACGGTAGCAGCAGCAATAGTAGGTTGAACAAACAGCAACAGCAAAGACAACAACAGCAGCAGTCATCTCCTAGCTACACACACAACAACAATAATAACATTAATAATCATCACCTTCATAAAGCAAGCAACAGCAGTAATAGTGTCATATCCAGCATGACTGATGACTATTCACCGCCAATAATAAACCACAATTCAAATACATCATCTAGCCGTTCACGGCACCAATCAACCTCATCCGGAACAACAACAACAAATGGTCGTAATGGTGAATCTTCATCGTCGTCGTCGTCAAGTAAACATTCAAGATCTTCAACGCCGACTCAAAAGCATTTTAACAAACATAGTAGTAACAGCAGTAAAAATAATTCTGCTACGACTAATGTTCAGCAACAGCTGCAAAATAATAGTACTAATAATAACCATCATCATAAAACACTGCAGCAGCAGCAGCAGGAAGATCAGCAAGCGCTGTACAATGCTGCCCGAACACCGCCCCAAACTGCCTCGCATTCATCGCAACAAAGAGAACAACAGGAACACTCTTCGCCCACACAACAAATTGCCGCCGCTGCCTCGACATTTTCGTTAACCAACCACTCCACATCATCGGGAGACGCACCTCGCTATGATTTTAGCAGTTACACGCCCATAACCAGCATCGAACAGAGGCGAAAATACAAGACTGAATTTGAGAGTGACTACGATGAGTATCGTAAACTTTTGGCACAAATCGAAAGTGTTGGACATCGGTTTCGTCAATTGGCCGATCGTTTAAGTCGTGTACAACAGGGTTGTATCGATTACTATAATATAAAGGAACAAATTGTTTCCGAATACAATCGCATACGTCAAGAAGAGGCCATAAATCGCGATAAACAGAGGTTTGATTATTTGCACGAAAAATTGGCACACATTAAACAGTTAGTTATGGATTATGATAAGAAATTGACCAGTGGTCTGGCGGCACCTACAACAAACACAACAACCACTAACCAACAACAGCAGCAACAACCAGAGACACTAAACCAACAGCAACAAATTACAGTTACAAATACTTCAGCTCATCTATCTCCAATGCTACAAAGCAGTGGTGAAAGCAATCATTCTCCACCGTTGGTGATAATGAATCCTACAACAGTTAATGGTGGTGGTGGTGCAGCTGTAAATTCTAAGAGTTCTTCGTCATCATCTTCCCATGGTAAAAAGAGTTCAAAACATCATCAGAAAAATAATCATCATCAGCAGCAGCAACATATGCAACTGCAGCAACAAGAACATTATCAACAACATCATGAACCAGAAACGATACAAATGGATGATGAGGACGATGATGATGAAGAAGAAACATCAATGCAATATCATCAACATAACTCCTACAATGGTAACGGAGTTGGTGGTGGTGTCGTTGTTGGCAATAATCATTTAAATCACCCACAACATGTTACAAATCCTGCATCTTTAACACATTCTAATAAAAGAAAACAACAACAACATGAACTGCAGCAGCAACACTATCAGCCAACAACATCAACAGAACAACAGCAAAATCACATTCATAATAATGATTCCGATTCAGATAGTGATTCAAGCTCATCATCTTCATCCAACGACGATGACAACTCAGATGATGATAATTCGGATGCCTCTGAAGATGATGATGATAACTCCGATGATGATGATGATTCCAACGATGATGATAATGATAACCAATGATCAAGACCATAGCAATGTACCCCCCTTGTTTTACTGATGATGACGACCAAACGCAAACAAACAAACCACTCTTATTATTATTATTGTTCTTCAACACTATTACTACTACTTCTTTGGTTTATATGTGTAAAATAATTATTATTATTTTTTTAAATTTTTAAAATAATATTAAATGCAAAATAAACAAAATCGAAATGTATAAACTAATTAAAAAAATGAGCATTATATATGTATGAGGAAATATGATGTTACAAGTCCAATTTAGATCAATATGTTACAAGTCAAAATTAGATCAATAATTTGGTTACAATAGAAATCTTACGCTTTATTAATCAGCATTATTAGGAAATCTTATTTTACTGAAGCATTGCTTCATTACGAATTACTGTTATTGAATTTGAAAAGATTTTTCTCTACATGAACTTTTGTGGTAAAAACATTTTAAAATGTATTCATACAAATAAGAAGACATGTATTGTTAAACTTTTTGGATTATAAAGTGTTTTCTATACGTTTGACGTTTAGACTAAAATGATTTCGTTGCAATTAGTATTGTGATATTCATCTGTATCGCCAATAGAAGTGAAATTTTCATTCACCTTGAAGGGGAAATAACTATCTTGAACTTTAGGTTCATTTCAATTCATTCACAATAATTGTTTTTGTTCGCAACAGCTGTTCATTGTTTACAAAATTCCATAGAAAAATTTCACAACAGGGAAAAAAGGAAACATATTTTTACATGAAATTTTGATTGGCGATAGGCGCAATTGTAAGTTTTTCAGTATTAAAAATTAATCTCTGCGGGTTTTCCAGAATTTTTATTAAAGTTTGGCCGTTTTAAGATAATTATATACAGAAGTTTAATGGAAATTTTCTAAATTAAATAAAATTGTGGCAAAATTGTATTGAATTTGAAAAATCCTCTTATTAGCTAGATAATTTATTAAATGAATACCAAAGTGTTTATAAAATTTGTAAGAATACTATTTTTAAAAAGAGAAGTTTTGCTAAGTTACACATTAAATGTTTTCTTGGAATCTTGTGTTTTTGAGTAAAAAAAAAAGAAGAAATTTTCAAAACCTTTTAATTATTGCACTAAAATTATTTCTTTCGAAAAGATTAACAATTTATTGTAATGAAAATATTGTAAATTTCTCTTTTTAAACAAAATGTTCTACTACTTTCCTAATTAATCCAATTTCCCCAAAAAAAAACCGCTCATTTTTTTAATTGTTTTATATATTTCCAAAAAAATATATAAATATATAAATTAAAAAGCAAAAACAAAAAACCACAAAACAAAAAACCTTAAGCAAAAAACAATTCAAAACTAAATACATAAAATAAAAACAAAATATGTTGAAATTATTTGTAAGCATAAGTGAACTTATACACATTATTTGCAAGCAAAAAAAAAAATCCTCAAAAAAATTATAAGAAAATAAAAAAGAATTTTTTTATATACTATATAATAAATTTATATTTAATTATTAAATATTAATATTAAAAGAAAAAAAGAAAAGCTCCAAAAAAACAACAACAAAACACTAAAGTGTAAAACGCAAAAGTTTGTAAACAACCACACATAAAATCTTATTTTTTTTTTTTAATAATTGTGTAATAATTAGCCATGTAAGCCTTTTATCATTTATTATTTTTAAGTTAAAACAAAAATTATCTGTTTTATTTTTCTGTTTTCAAATTAAAATAAACAAAAAAGCAATTTTATTGTTTTTCGTTTTGTATGAAAAAAAAAAACAACAAACTCTGTTTCTTACTGAAAATATTTTAGGCTCTAATGAAGTTTTGGAGAGGAACGAATGAAAGTTGTCTTTAGCAATTGTGTGTTTTAAGTTTTCATTTCATCATTAACTTTATAATGCGTTTATGAATACGGGGCTTTAAACCGGGAAATTAATTTTAGTTTAAATATATCTCCTACTCTTTCCCATTATTACTAAAGCCAAATTTCAGGAATTTTGTATGCTTCAGAACTGTTTTGAAATTAGTTTTTTGATCAATGATGTTCGAAATTGTCACCCTGGAAACTAGTTCTAGGGTAGCCTTAGGGAACTTTTAGAACTAGTTTTTTTTTCAGCGTTTTTTGTTTCAAATTGTTAAATTTTAAAATATTGCGTTCTTGGACATATAGTAGACGTTATAAAAAGACGTTCGAAAAACTCCATTTCGTTTTAATGCTTAACGATTGCATGTATTCTGCATTACTACGATCGCAGCCAGGTATGGAAAATTCTGTTCTTTAGTACTTTTAGTTATTTTTGGTGGTTTCCCCACAATATTCTATATATAGTCTAGTCTATAGTCTAGTCTATATAGTCTAGTCTATAGTCTAGTCTATATATTCTAGTCTATTGTCTAGTCTATAGTATAGTCTAGTCTATAGTCTAGTCTATAGTCTAGTCTATAGTCTAGTCCATAGTCTAGCCTATAGTCTAGTCTATAGGCCAGTCTATAGTCTAGTCTATAGTGAAGTCTAAAGTCTAGTCTATATATAGTCTTGTCTATAGTATAGTCTAGTCTATAGTCTAGTCTATAGTCTAGTCTATAGTCTAGTCTATAGTCTAGTCTATAGTCTAGTCTATAGTCTAGTCTATAGTCTAGTCTATAGTCTAGTCTATAGTCTAGTCTATAGTCTAGTCTATAGTCTAGTCTATAGTCTAGTCTAGTCTAGTCTATAGTCTAGTCCATAGTCTAGCCTATAGTCTAGTCTATAGTCTAGTCTATAGGCCAGTCTATAGTCTAGTCTATAGTGAAGTCTAAAGTCTAGTCTATATATAGTCTTGTCTATAGTCTAATCTATATTATAGTATAGTCTAGTCTCTAGTCTAGTCCATAGTCTAGCCTATAGTCTAGTTTATAGGCCAGTCTATAGTGAAGTCTAAAGTCTAGTCTATATATAGTCTTGTCTATAGTCTAATCTATAGTCTAGTCTATAGTCAAGGCTATAGTGTAGTCCAGATTCAGATTTAACTTCTATAAAATAAAATACTCGTGTAAGTACCAATAGGTCGTATTCAAATAAAAAGTGCGATATACCTTCCTGACATACCTCACGGGAGCATCTAACTGGGTAATGTTAAAGAAGGAACTATTTATTTAGCATGATATATATCCACGATTCTGTGGCAGCCTCTTAATATATCTTCACTGATTATCACTCAGCAAAGGAGATCACACAAATGATTTCGATATAGTACGATATTTAATATCATCATCAGAATAGGTCAGAATAGGAACATGATACAAATTTTGGTGAATCAGCAAATTACAGTTGATCATTCAGCATCATTATTAAAGTAAGTAACTGCCGGGACAAATCTGGAGTTTAATTCTTTATTTCAAAACTTTTTTATTTAAATTATATATTAAATGCTCTTTCTTTATTCTAAATTAACACAAAATTCTTTAAATCCTTTTATTATTTTTAATTAACAAAAAATAATAACATATTTTAACCCTTAACCTGTATACATGGGCCAAAACGTTATTTATTCGTTCCAAATTGTACAAATGTGGCAAATCAGATCTTAAGCAATTGTTGATTGAAAATATTTTCATATAAGGTGGGTATAGTAAAAATAACATGTCATCATTCTAATTATTACACAATAACTCTTAAACAAATTGAAATATTTCCTTGAAATGGTAACGGAATTCATTTTGCAAATATGTATTTTATTAATTTAATTATAGTTGTAAATAAAAACATGTGTATTCTAAAGAAGGAAAAAAAAACAACAAACAAAATATGTCATATTAAAACATAAAGAAAAACAAACAACTATTTACAATGACAACAAAACAAATATTTAAAACAAACAAATAAATCCTATTTTTTATTAAGATATAAACAAACAAAAAAAAAGAATCATACAAATTATTAAACAAATGACACAAACAACAAACATTCAAAAGGATCAAATTATATACTTAGAGAATAAAACGAAAAAGGCCACTTTGGAAAACATGTATTTAAAAAAAAAATTAGTTTAGACAAACAAACAAAAACAAAGGCTGCATAGCATGTTTAATTTAAAATAAAAGATGGGACTAACAAAACATTTTTGTTAAATTTATCAGTTTTAAAACACATCCATTTTGTTTCGTCCATATACAAATTTTTACAACTTAAAAAAATATGTTTTAAAAACAAATGAAAGCAAAAAAATAAAACTAATGAACAAAGTAGAAAATTTAATTTTTAATTAAATACATATTTCTTGAAATTATAATTTTAATTAAGAAAAATAAATATGACTTTAACTTAAAGTTACTGAGGGTTTTTCATTATTCCTTTCGAAAGGATAAAGATTTCAGACCTGTCATTTTCCGAACAGTATTTGAATTCACTTTACATAAAAATAACTTTGATGCGTCAATATGTGCTTGCAATTTTCAACTGCTGTGACATGTCTGAATGTATTTAACATACAAATTTGTAAATAAGTCGAAGGTCCATGTTATTTTTCAATTCAAGAGTAAAGAGACCAATTTGTATATCCTTCACCTAAGTGAGAAGTCTATGTGAAATGCTTTACATGAGCGCCTACCTTGACAGCTTAAACTCATGGTGCACACATTTGCACATTAAACAAGTAAGAAAGTATAGTCGGGCGTGGCCGACCATATGATACCCTACACCAGTTATGAATATTAAATGTGATTTATTTTTCATAATAAAGCATTTAGCTTCAATATTCCCTTGTTCCGATACATTTAAGCAATTTATGGATGAAAAACTAATTTTCTGAAAGATGCTTTATATGGGGGCTAGGCGCAAATATGGACCAAGCCCGATAAAATTTTGTGAATATATTTATATTTACATATTATTTTATTGTACTGAATTTCATCGCGATATTTGTGTTTATAAGCTATTTTGGGACATTCAAGTAATTTTCTGAAGGGGACTTTGTATGGGAGCTAGGGTCAGATGGGGCCCGATCTTTATGAAATTTGGCAGGGTCATCAAGACTTCTATAAAACTTTGTTGTGCCGTATATTATCGATATATGTGTATATTTAACATAATTATGAGCTCAGAAGCCCTTTTCGGGGGAACCTGTTCTATGGGGGCTAGGTGAAATAATGGACCGATTTTAACCATTTTCAATAGGCTGTGTCCTTGGGTCAAATAAAACGTGCGTGCCAAATTTCATCCAATTATCTTGAAAATTACGACCTGTATCTTGCGCACAAGGTTTACATGGACAGCCAGCCAGCCAGACGGACGGACGGACATAGCTTAATCGACTCAGAAAACGATTCTAAGCCGATTGGTATACTTTAAGGTGGGTCCAGGACGAATATTTTTGTATGTTACAAACGTCACAAATCCAATATACCCTCCCCACTAAAGTGGTGTAGGGTATAAAAATCTTCTTTGAATTTATGAATTTCTAAAAAGTAGACTTAATATCCAATCCATCGATTGGAAAGGATGAAAAAAAAACAAGTAAACCATTTTTTTTCTATATCACTGTGCGTTGACCTTTTTTAACCACAGGATGAGTTTGTTACTGTGCAATCGTTGCTTGAAACAATATACACAGGTATTCCTGTGATATCAACTCATTCCCCGCAGTCACTCCTATGTGAGGTGCTGTGGAATCGTCAACAGCACCGTAAACTTATAACGAAATATTAATTTTAACTAATATTCTCTTAGGGCAATTTGGGTTTTAAACAAAACCACTAGAGTATCCCAATAGCTTGCACAGGACGGTTCAGAATCCCGCAGTAATATTCAGTATAGAAGCTCTTTTCAAACCGCGATCAGCAAAGAAGCAATATGCGAAAAAAACATGTTCCTTGGAAAAATATGTTCCAAAGAAAACAAAAGAAAACATATTCGAAGGACCTTTCATTTGATAAAAAAAAACTATTGGTGAATTCTAAATAGATCTAATTCTTGCTTAGTTTTGAATCGGATAAAACTTTTACAAAGTTTTAAATAACCCTCTGTCTACAACCACTTTTCATTAACTCATATAAACAGTTTTTGAGTTAAATAATTAAAATTTGTAAAAAAAACATATAGGGAAGGAAATTTACAAAAAACATATTTAGGTAAATAAAAAGTGGCATATTTTTTTGCAATATTATTTTAAAGCCTATAGAAATTGTATAAAAAAAATAAATATTATATAAATACAAAAAACTCTTTTTTTAAACAAACAAAAATGTTGAGTGAAATTCTAGTTTTTACTTTAAAACAAAAAAAAAAAAAAACGTTATTTTACAAAAGAAATTGACTTACACACACATTACAAAAAATAATTAATAAATTTTTATTATTAAAAGTTTTTGCTCATTTAAAATAAAAAAACAAAAAAATATGCATTTAATTCGTAATTTAATAATTAATTAGCTTTTTAATTTTACTCTTATTTTGAATTTTTTCATTAAAAAATATAAATTTTAATTTAAAATGTAAATATTTTTTGCAAAAAAAAAAAAAAAAAAAGCTTAAAGATTATTTTTTATACGAGTAAAATTCTTTAAATTAGGCTTTTTAGCATACAATGAAATATTTTTATAAAAATCTGTTTGGTTTTTTGTGTAAATTAAAAGTAAATGCAATATTTTTTGTAAAATTTTTAGAATTTGTTTGATTTTTGTTTAACTTGTTTTTACTTATTTTAAATTGGTTGTAAAATAATCTTACAATATCCGAGTTGTCAGTTGTTAAATTTAGCAATAGGCAA